GGCCATGGCCGTGGGCGTGGCGTGGCATGGCGAGGCGAGGCAGGCGGGCGGCGAGCGAGCGGATGGGCGGGCATGGCCAGGTTTTGCCACTTAATCCACATAATTACAGGAGTTTCTCTCCTTTATGGTGGAGGCAAGTTGATTACGCCAGTTACAGTCTCTTCGTGTCTCCGTCTCCTAGGTTCCTCCGCTGGCTTTCTCCCTCCATGCCGCAGGCATAAATCTATAGTCTTCCGTCAGTGCACTTCTTCCGCTTCGCTTCTGAGAGACCACATCTCAGCCGCCCTTTGGCTTTCCCCATCTCGTACCTCTACGCGCACGGAGCAGCGGGAGAGCAAGTGCCTCCTGAACCCTCGTCCACCTACGAACCATGCACGGGGTGTGCGGCGATTAGGTTTTTGGGGAGCGATTCCACGACTACTCGTCCGACGTCTTCTTCCTGGTGATCGCTCGCGGAACCCGTCTTCTTCCTGGTGATCGCTCGTGGAACAACAAGATGTCTTCTTCCCGGTGACCGTTCGTGGGACTGCACTGCGAACACCGTCCTACATCGACTGTGGTCCACAACTTCGAGCAACGCACTATGTCTGGTGCTAATGGAGCCTCCGATGCCCTCGGCATGGGACCCTCCGCTGGGTACACTCTTATCTCTGTGATTACAGTACTTTGTGTTCTTACTGTATCGATCAGTATGTCATATTTACATGTTGTAGCATTTGTTAGAGATATACATATGCACATATATGTCATCACAAACTTGCTGATGTTTTATTTCTAGATTAAATTGACCATGAAAATGCCTAATTGTCTAACATTTTTATGCTGTAAATTTAAATATTAAAATAGGTATTAAACAAAACCTACTATGCTTGGAGGGGGGCCACGGCCCTGCTGGCCCCCCTGGTTACCCCACTGGATCCAACTAATGGGAAATTACAATAAATATATGTAGGGTTGATGTTGATGTAACAACACCGTGCTACCCTAGCTCATTGCTAATTGTTGACGCTTAGGTCACACACCAACAAAGAGGTAGAACACTCTGATTGAGGCGGGCCAATTCAACCTAGCTGACTTTCAAGTTAGTTGTTGCCTAATAGTGTGTTCACACATGAATACTTCACTCTTGTGCCTACAACTGCGATACGTAAGACACATCATTGGAGAGAAGTCTCGTCGGGAGCGCGATACGCAAGACATGCATGCCAACGAGGTCTCTTGAAACACAAAACCCCACATGCCTTGGAGGGACCCCATCGGGGCATTGTCGTGACTATGGACTGCCCTAGTCGGCCTAAGCGCTCTAGAGAGCTTCATCGTCATTGGACCTACAACCATCAGTAGCGGCGACGAATAACGAACAACAATAACGGATTGGAGAAGTAGAGGAGAGGGTAGACTGGTTTTTTATCGATTGTATATATGGATCTCTCAATCAACCGTGATCCTCTTATATAAATGGAGGAGGTGGTTTTATCCTAATAGAAAACCTATTCTACACGCAATCTATAAGTTTCCCACGAGATCGGAGGAGCTTCTAACTAGAAAACCATGAATTGGCTCGGGCTGCCAAAACCAACTTAGGCCTATTTCAATATGCATGCAGGCTTCTCTGAACAAACCAGCCTAGGACGGTTTAGAAATCAACCTAGGCCGGTTTTTACTTTTAGCGGCCGAGGAATGAAGGCCCCAAACCGGCCTCGGCCGGTTTTGTCTGATCTTTGCTAGTTCGGTCCAATTTTTTTTAGAAAGGACGGCAAAAGCTTTGCCACGATTTCTATTAGACAAAGAAAGAAAAAAAGGCAAGTTCCCGCCCAGTTTTTTGAGTGGAAAGTGGGCCCAAAAACCATACAACTGACGAGAGTACACCACTCATCCTACACCACTTTGTTACAACGCCACTACTTGCTCCAACTTGGTCGAATCGACCCAACTACCAACTCAACTAACAACTAAACAAGGACTGAAGAAAAACGACGACTGGGGCACCACCATGGCCAGACGGCAAAAGGAACAACCGCGGAATTAGAAAGCCTAGCAATGCCTCCAAGGAGGAAACGACGCTAAAAGCGTCGACAAGGTAACCCGTCAAGAGAAGGTTTTCACCTACATCATCCAGTACAGTGGGAGGAGAGGTAGGAAAGGACGCCTCCAAGGAGGGAACGATGTCCGCAGACATCGTCGTCCAAGCTTTCACCCCGCCTCAAGCAACCTCCACACTGTCGCCGTCGGAGACCCAAACCTACCAGGGATGTAGGGTGCGGTGATGGATCAGCAACAGCCTCGCCCGTCCACTGTCCCTAGGGACATCGGTCAGGAGAAGTGCTGGGAGAAGCCCACCGGAGAGTACGCCCCCCGCTGGAACCGGCAAAGCCAGCCAGCAGCAAGCATATCCAGCCAGCACCGCCACGAAAACCGCTCGAGCAAGGAGGAAGGCAGATGACGGGGAGAAGAGGGCCGGGATCAGAAGAAGCCCCAGTCGCCCAGCCCACCAACGTCCCACCCCCTACCGAGCTGGCACCGCATCAACCACGCCGCACAAGGCCTCCAAAACCCTCCGCATCGAACTGCCGTCGTCTTGCGCCTCTACATCGGCCCCATGGCAACTCCACCGCCGACGAGCTCCACCAGAGAAGATCTGGCCCAGAGACCGCCAGATCCAGCATCAGAGGCAGCGGGTATGCGGCTTTCATCCTGGCCTGGCACCGCCAGCCGCGCCACCATGGCACCGCGGGCGTGCCACCGCCCTGCCGCCGCCAGCCAGCACCACCATGGCACCGCTGGAGCATGCCTAGCCAAGCCACAGCCAGCCATGCCACCACGGCGTTGCCGACGAAAGCCACATCACCACTGCCTCCACGGGTGCAATGCTCAAGAACTGGGCGGCCGGAGCACGCCACCAGCTCGTCGCCACACTACCGCACCGCCGCAGTCGTCATCCACCACCACGCCACGGATATACGCACCGGCAGGCCGGATCCGGCCTAGGGGACGCCAGATCTGGCACAGAGGGCCGGAAACCCGGCGGCCGCCGCCCCATGGAGCACCATGGGAGCGCCTCAGGGAGAGAGAGAGAGAGAGGAGAGAGGGGAGGATGAGGCCCAGCCGCTGCCATCCTTGCCCTCGGACGGGTAGCCGGTGCTAGGCTCCGGCGGCGGCTGGGGATGGCTGCCTGGAGGAGGGGCTCGGGGGTGGAAACGACGTCGCCGCCCGAGTCGCCCGAGAGCGACGCTTCGGTCCAAATTTGTTCCTGTTCAATATTGCATTTACTTTTCTGGTTCCATCTTCAAACTCCCGATCATATTTCGACAATCAACACTAATAGCCTCATGAAGAGATGATACAGATGACCAGAGGTCTTACTTAAACCAAGTATATTGTTAGTAGAAAAATCATTTGTAATTTTGTATCCTAGCTTTGTCCATAAGCAACTTAATTATACGGGCTTATCTGAGCTGCTAGCCTGGTTGGTGTGGACAAAGAACGAGTCATGTAACCGCGTATACGTTTGGGGATCCCAAAGAAAATAGTCCTGCATGCAATGTGAGATCCGCATAATTGCATTCCGCAGCACGTTTGCCTTAAATCAATAGCCCATTCGCTTGAACGTGTTTGACTTATAAGTCATGGCTTATCAGTCAACGAATAGTATTTTTCTTTCACACCAAATCAGCCAACAGTACTTTCAATCATGGCTTATCAGTCAAACAAGCCCAAATAATCTGTGGATTGCTCGTTCCCACTGCGCACGCTTCATGCGCTGCACGATCTGCCTATCTAAATGCAACTCTCTCTCTCTCTCTCCCCCAGCCCCAACACACACACAATACTGTGTCATTTGTATCTGTGTAAGATACGTACTACAAAATCTGTGTGTATCTTCCATGATTTGACAAGAATTTCAGATACAAAGGCAATATTTTGTAAAGGCAAATTTTGTTGTTACATACAGCTCAGCTCAGCAGTCCTTTGTGTTGACCTGCACCTTTTTCTTGCATTCTCGACCCAAATCTAAGGTTGAATCTTTCTGCTCACGAGGATTGTTTAGATCATCCTGATCCTGAATGTCTGGATCAAGTCTGGAAATCCAACACACACAAAATGGGTCACGCGTTCGCTTAAGCAAACGAACTACTATACATCCTTCACTTAAATGGTTCAATGAGACCTTTTGTAGTTGTAGGAGATCAGTACCATGTGTTGAGTTTTACCAGGTTATTAGTATCTCACAATTTTGCTTCATTCAAAATGAACAGTTTGATGTATATACATAGTTACCTCTAGTTGGTAGTAGTATAAATTTAAAACATGAAAACAAAAACAAAAGGTTGTAGTAGTGTAGTACCTTCAAAATATGTTCTCTGCTTACTTCTCCTTTTGTCCTCCTTTTTCCAAAGCAAATACCCTTCTCTTTCATGCATTAGCCTCACCACCATTTCGATCGCAGCATATAAGAATTAAAAGAAGCACCATTTTATCCAACCCCACTTTCACAACGGCTATGAGCATTCTGGAATCCAAATTCCTGTTAGCCCTCATCAATTAAATACATAAGATCGTCGAGGAGATCGTAGAACTTAAAAATGGGAGATTTATTTTTCCTCCAATCCTACAAGAATGAAACTGCTATATATGAAATTCCTCTGAAATTCCAGAGAGCTTCAAATTAAACAAGGCCCAAATTGATACATGAAGCTAGCATACATACGTACTATTCCCACTCCATCAATGGGCATGGTATCTGAATCTTTCTCTCATAAATTTGTATTTTCAATCTACCCCAAAGGAATTCATTTCCCATTTTGTATTGCAATGGGGAGGATCCTTTTGTCCCACTTGTTTTGCCAGCACAATATAAATAGCCACCCAACACATCCATCGATCTGCAGCCAACTCACAAACTAACTCCCAGAAGATCTCAAGGACTTCGATTTTCTTGACCCAAGCAACAACTAGTTAAGTATAGTTAACAAGCAACTTAAACGACAGCGACAAGAACCATGTCACTCTACTTGGCGACCACGGCCGCCGCGGTGTCCGCTGCCGCCGCCATCACCACCCTCCCAAAAAGGCAGCTAGTAGCGCCGCCGCCGCCGCCGTCCATCGACCTAAGGCAGCTGGAACGAGGCATGGCACTCCCCCTGCCACCGGCGCCACCGCCACCACCGCTAGTCAGTGCCAGCAATAGGCACGTCGTCGGAGCAAAGCACAAGGCCGTGGTGGTGATGGGCGCCACGGGGACCGGCAAGTCGCGCCTCGCGGTGGACCTCGCGCTCCAGTTCGGCGGCGAGGTCATCAACTCCGACAAGATCCAGCTGCACGCCGGCCTGGAGGTGACGACGAACAAGGTGACCGAGTCGGAGCGCGCCGGCGTGCCGCACCACCTGCTCGGGGTGGCGCGCCCCGACGAGGAGTTCACGGCCGCGGACTTCCGCCGCGAGGCATCCCGCGCCGCGTGCGCGATCACCGCGCGGGGCCGCGTCCCCATCATCGCGGGCGGGTCCAACTCGTACGTGGAGGAGCTCGTAGACGGCGACCGCCGCGCGTTCCGGGACCGCTACGACTGCTGCTTCCTGTGGGTGGACGTGCAGCGCGCCGTGGTGCACGGCTACGTGGCCCGGCGCGTCGACGAGATGTGCGCCCGCGGCCTCGTGGACGAGGTCGCGGCCGCCTTCGACCCGCGCCGCACCGACTACTCCAGCGGCATCTGGCGCGCCATTGGCGCGCCGGAGCTCGACGCGTACCTGCGGTGGTCGGGAGACGACGAGGACGAGCGTGCCAGGCTGCTGGCCGCCGCCATCGAGGACATCAAGGCCAACACCCGCCGGCTCTCGTGCCGGCAGCGCGCCAAGATCCAGCGGCTGGCCAAGCTGTGGGGCGGCGTTGTCCGGCGCGTGGACGCCACCGAGGTGTTCCGGAGGCGCGGCGACGCGGCCGACGAGGCGTGGCAGCGGCTAGTCGCCGCGCCGTGCATCGACGCGGTGGGCTCCTTCCTACGCAACGACGACGCCACCGCCGCCAATGATCTACCGGCGGCCGAAGCAGTGCCCGTGTTCGCTCCTGCGCCGGCAGCGGCTGTCGCAGGATAACGAACGAAGCTTCTTGATCGGCGTTGGCAGCTGCACCACAGCATTCACGAGTAGCCATTAACGACACCATTACTTGGTGCGATGGCATTGGCCGAGATCGTCCACAAGGAGAAAGGAGGGAGTGATCGAGAGCGAGGGGAATGGCGAGCATAACTAGAGCCAGGTCAATAATGGCCAGGTCGTTTGTCTTATTATCCGTACTTTTCAGCTTGTTTTTTCATACAGAACAGTGTTTTTCTCTCACAACAAATTAGCCGGAACAGTGTTTCGGCTTGTTTTTTCAGCGAAGCGAACGGACCAATAGAGCTAAGTGTTTGACTATAAGTCAAAGTTATAAGAGTCAAGTCATATAATAGTTGTCTCTTATTTGGCTATAAAAAAGTTTTTTATTATTATGTGGTACCTTGTCTTATTTTCTCTTTCCTATTCCTCCTCACATACATTATTGTTTAGGCCCACAGATGCCTATGCTTCCGTGGCCAGCTTAGTGCTAGAATAAGAGCCAAGTTCTCTTCTCTCTCCTCTCTTCTCTCCTCTATATTAGAAAAATACTGACTAGCTTGGCTATAAGTTTATTACTGTACTTGCTCTTCCGAACATACATGGGAATGTAAATCTATAGAGATTAGCGTAATTATTGCTTTGAGAAACGTGCGTTGGAAATCCTACGAGGAGGAGAAGCTGACGGTGATGGAAGAGTGGATATATGATCATATATATAGCCAGCCAGATATAGAGCCCTTGATACAGATGAGTGTGTTGCATGTATATTCGAGCAATGCATTTGCACGAGTTAGCGCCTGCTGTAACTTTTCACTTGTCTTTTTTGCCACCAATTTCTGTTATTGTACATTCTGTGAAATGATGCTTATTTTTGTTTTTCTTTAATTTGGTCGTGCAAACATTGTTGTGCGCGCAATCGAGTGTGTACAATCGAGCCGTTCAGTTTTTTTTTTTGGTCGTGTCTGCCCGTCTGATGAGCGAGATATTAATGGGAAATGTATTTTTTTTTTGAATTACATAAGTATAGATGCAGACGCTCACAACACACACGTACACTCAACACACTCAACAACATTTGAATATTTTTGTCTTGTAGTTGACTCCTGTAGTATTAGTGGTTTGCACGTGAGCACAAATTAAAAAAAAAACAGGTATATATTTATAAAAAAAACAGCTGCTGTATCTATATATATATCAGGTTATTTATTGTAACATATACATTATCGATCGACTCATGCCAAGTAAGTAAAGTATAATCTTGATGGTAATGATATATATGTCATGCATTTAATATTATTTCATATATAAATCTTACACAGTAACCTCTATTTAAATGTAATAATAAAATATATCAACAAATAATTGGGAAATAAAGACTACTAGCTGGGTTGAAGCCACCAAACCATCGATGAGTACAATATACTCAGTGTCAGGTACTGGTCTAACCCGGTAATGACAATCACCAAATAACTGCCGGGTATGGTATCAACCCGATAGTGATACTCATGTTATCACTGCTAGGGGGAGCATAATCCTTGGTGAATGAGTACACCCGGCAGTGATATCCGACAATGTCGTCCAGTCATTGTCGGGTCTAAAACCGGCAGTGACATGCTATTGCCCTTTGTCGATCGGATTTGGCAGTGATGTCAGGTTTAGATCCAACAATGATCCATGGATTTGGACTAGTGTGGATTTTATTAGAACTCATCTCAGGCGATCAATCTCAAACGTCCATATGCATTCAATGGTTTTCCCATTTTTCTTCACTAGTCCGGCGTCACTCGACAGAAGGTGTGAGCTCTCTTTCTCTCCTCCGGTCGCTTGCTCCTCCTCAGAGCCTCCATTGCACTTGCACGCGTGCCTCCCCTTATGTAAGGCCGGCAATCATACATGGATGACGCCGGATAAGACACCTAAGTGGTGCGCTGCCATCACCTCAAATCTCACCCACAGCTTTAGGCGCCTGCTGGGTGCTGAGCTGAGCAATAGGAGTAGTTGATAGAAAAAGATCCTATATGGATTCACAATTTCAGCCTTTGTGGTTAGTAATTTAAGGGCCCATTTAGGCAATGTTTCCATATAAATTTGTAATTTGTTTATACCTAATAGATATACTCCATCCATACTAAGAAGGACGATGGAATTTTACAATAGTGCTAAGTTAACCAATTTGAAGTTTCACCAAATTTATATAAAATATAAAATAAAAAGATACTAACACTATCAGAAAAATGATTTTAGGAGACAGCCTCGCTGATTAACAGAGGCGGGCACCTCTAGGGACCGTCCCTGTAAATGGTCAGCCCACCAACAAACGCCAACCTCTTTTAATCATTTTCAGAGGTGGACGTCCTAAAGTGGTCGTCTCTCTTAATCGACTATTAATAGAGACAGATGTCCTAATGCGTTCGTTTCTGTCAGGCATTTTAAACGTTCACCTCTAAACATTGATTAAAAAAGATGGTCATCCTAATAGGTCTGCTTCTGGACATAGTTTCATCAAAAAATAATTAATAATTTTTCCATATGAAAAGATGAATTTTATATCAAAATTATAGCTCTTGATGCGGTTTATAACTTTGTAGTTTTGAGAAGTTTTTTATTTCATATTGTTTATCCCAAAATTTCAAATTTTCAAATAATCCCAGGTGTTGACATGGTCTATACCAAATCTATAGTTCTCAATATAATCTACAACTTTTGTGGCTGAAAATTTTTTATTTGAAGTTGTTTAGAGTCCCATATATGTGTTTTAAGTTGTTAGAATTTGAAATTTAAAATTAGAAATTTCCAAGCGATCTTGAATCTTCACATGGTTAATACCATAGTTGTAGTGGACGACCTTATCTACAAGTTTGTTTTTTAATAAGTTTTTATTTAGAGTTGTTTAGAGTCTCAAATATATATTTATGTTCACATATTTAAATTTTTAAAATTTTCAAACAATCTTGGATGGAGACATGTCTTATACCAAAGCTGCAGTGCTTGACAAGATTAAAAACTTTGTAGTTGAAACTTTTTTCATTTGAGTTTATTTAGTAGCTAAAATATTCAATACAATATTACGCAATATTGATATAAAATGATAGTATCCTATGTATATTAACAAAAGACTATGTAGTGCAGAGTTGTAGTATTTGACAAGAGTTGATATTTTTTATTTGAGTTCATTTAGTAGCTAAAATATTCAATACAAGATTACAAATATATAAAATGATAGTATCCTATGTGTATTAACAAAAGAGTGTGTAGTATAGTGATAGGGAGGTATAGTTTGAGAAAATGATCGTCTTTGAAAATGCTTCCCATAATAATGATAATATTTATTATATCAAATAAGTATCATTAGATTAGTCATGAAATATATTTTTATAGTATACATATTTGAGGCCAAATTTAGAATAGAAGTTTTAGAAAGCCTAATTCAATTCCCCGCCCCCTCTTAGGCGTCATGTCCCTTCAGTTGGCATCGCTAAGTCCTGACATACTAAAATCACGTAATCATCGACATCATAGATTGGAGGTGAAGAATGTCATTATTATGGGGCTCTTGATTAAATCACGTAATCATCGAGATCATAGATTGGAGGTGAAGAATGTCATTACTCTAATGTATCTTTCTTGCTCTCCAGTGACTTGGATATAAACAGACATGTAACTGTTGTGCTCTCAATTGAATAGAGTCCCTTCCCATTCAAAAAAGAAAAAAAGAATACTACGCTATCTTTTTAATCTTTAAATTACAGTCTGTTTAATTTCTCCTTGACATGGGAATACTCAGTAGTAAAACTAAGAAATGTGGTATGTTGTGGACGAATATAGCTCCCAATAGAGATAGCATATAGCATAGTAAAGTGACGAACTATAGTAAGCAGCAAATTTTTTTTTGAAAAATAACAAGATGCTACAATTAAATTATATTAGCACTTGGATCCAATCAGATCACACATTATCATCAGTTGAAGTAGATAAGGGAGTATAGATTGATAGATTAACATAATCTTATGTTAGACAAGATCTAGTCCTATTATTAATCAAGCATTTCAAAAAGAAAAATCTTTTAGTCAAGTCACCTAGAATTTTTTTAGCTTCTTAATTTTGACCGCACTAGGAACAGAATAAGAACATCTCTGTTGCACACTAACAGAAAGTGAGAAATAGCATTGGGGATCGCATATATAATACTAACGCATTGACATTTTAGTGAGAAAAGTTGCTTTGAAAAGAAATTAAAATCAATATAGGACTTCCATTTCACTTGTCCCATTCTTCCAAATCTTTCTATGCTTTTCGGGAATGGTGTCCTAATTTATTTGTGCAGCAGCACTGAAGCACTAAGTTTTGTAAGGAAGTTAATTCACTTATTGTGGTATGGTACACTAGCTTTTCTTGTGCTCAACTACTTTCCCAATACCATAATATATGATGTGGGCTGGTGGGCTGGGCCGAATAGCCGAGCTACTGCAGCTCGGGTTGCGGTACTGCAGCAACGAAGGTACTGTAGCTACAGGACTTTAGTCCCGCGCCGGAACCCGAGGAGGTGCCGAACCAGCTTAAAAGCCTGAGCCTAAGAGAGAATAAACTCCGGTTCGAACCTTTTGCATGAAGCGAGGACGAAAGCGCAAAAGAGTTAATTAACAGGTGTGGTCCATTCAACGTATAGAGTGGATCTTAACCGTCTTCCCGGGCTGGGGCGTTACAAATGGTATCCAGAGCCAACTCTCGCGGTTTCACGGACATATGGCTCGGGAGCTCGGACAGGTTGTGCATGGCTCTGCAAGAGCATGGCACTTGGGCGGGGGAGCTGGGAATATGGACGTGGGCCAAGAGAGTCGATCATGAGCATTTGTCCCGAATAGGGTAAATGTAGCATCACGTTACTGTTGCTCGGTGCCTGTTCACGCGCGGTGCTGTATCATCGCGAGCACTGTGTAACCAGCCTTTAGTCCCAAACTGTGAATCCTAGGATGGCCAGACCGACTTAAATAGCCAGG